ATTTAAATGCATAAGCGAATAATAATATTAGAGTTGATATTCCTTACACATGGTTGAGTGACAATTTATTATTTTTGGTGTTTCTTATTTGTCTTGGGTTCGGAATGGATCCGAGGAATGCAAGAATAATACATAATGAAATAATCCTGGGTATTTTTTACTAACACCTAAAGAAAATTCATAAGGAGGACTACTCACAATCCTTTTATTGATCGGGATCTAGATCTTGGTCTTCTTGATATGAAATGGTTAATAAAATGGTGAGCTACACTAACCTATAAGAATATCACACTAATCACTGATACATAAAATTAAAAATTGGTAAAAATAAAATAATGACTAATTGAACACTTTCTTTAAGTAAATACATTTATCTTTAAAACATTTATTTGATGCTTATCGTTAAAGTTTTTCTCAAAATCAACCTATGAAGATACTTAACCAAATGACATTTCAATTTCATGTATACGATCAAAAATTCTTTATTTTTAACCTACGTACTCGGATCCTCGGGGATCCATAGGGATATCCCTCTATTCGTGGACTTAGTATCAAGATTTGACAATTAACTTGGTCGTTTCATACCTCCTCTGGTAATGGGCGCCAAAAAACACCATCGTCTTGATATCTCGTTCGATATGAGAGTGAACCATATCTCTCAAAACTCTTCTGGTATGGGACTTCTCAACTCCTTTTGATTGAGGTAATGTCCATAGTAGAGTTCCCTATACACCGGATACGTCCACCCTTTATCAGGATGCTCAATAAGATTACATTTATTTAGACTCTTATCATCGAAACATCCACTAAAGAATACTAGTATCTCATTTCATATTCATATATTAATTTAAATGACATTTAAACAAGCAATATAGTTTAGCATAGTCAAATAACCAATAACCAGAATACCAAATAAACAATGCAGGAGGAACCAAATAACCAAATAACCAAGAAGACCATAAAAACCATCAATTCAATTACGCACAGTAAGTAAGCAAATATAGGCAATATAAAAAAAATAAACAAAGAATCAGGACAAATGTAAACTAACCAGTTCCGCCTCCACTAGTGACCTGTAATATTTTTAGGGTTCTTCTAATTTTTTTACGAAACACACAACTATCGATTATTAATTCTCAATTTACCATAACCGAGAATAGAGTGAGAAATTCTTATCTGGTTCGGTGTTTTGAAATATTATGCTATCTATTTTACCTTCTAATAGGTCTCCGATTTCCTAAATTTTTCCTGTGAAAATCTAAAATACTCGTCAAGTATCTTAAAAATACTCCAAAAATCAAAAATCAGTATTAGAAGTCTTTTCTGACCAATTTTAGGGTTCCGGCATGGTGCCGACGCCAGCTCCGCCGCCCACAGCTGCAGTTTGTTTCAGCCTAGCCGATTTTGATTGATTTTACACATATCCCTGCGAAAAAAATGTTAGGGGACCTCAATTGGCCAGAAAATCAAAAGAAACCGAACTTACCGATGAAGGGTCTCCAGGTGCGGTGGCTCTGTCGGTTCTCGTTCACAACCTGGGGGTTTCTCCTTTGGCTAAGCTGCACATAAAAGGATGGTGAACACAACGGTCATAAAAATTGTGTGAAACAGAAAATGGGAAGGGGCTCATCAGAGAGTTTTAGGGTTTCGATCGCGATAGCTTTGCCGGGCTTTACCCACAGTTTCTAGTTCACACGCTGTCCTTTTTTCTCTAACATAGCCACAGGAGACTCGGATCAATTTAGCGGTATGGGAGAATTTACTTTCTTTGCAGTCGGTAGTGCTCGTGCATGTGGCTGGGGGGTCGGTC